CCCAACTTTCTGTTCCCTGATTATTTTTCTTCTTGGAATACATGTGTTAGAGCTGCTTAGGGTCAGTATTCTCAGTGTGACTCAGTTCAGTCTTTAAACTCGGAAATCAATTACTCCTTTCATTTTGCTTGGGATATTGCTGCTGGTGGCAAGGAATGAAGTTCAGACTGGCTGTATTGAATGACTTGAAGGTCCAGACTTCATCTGAAATCTCCTGACTGGTCCTGGGCAGAGGGAATTAGCAGTAGGGATGGCATTTTGTGGCTGGTATTCAGACAAGGTGTCCCACCTGCCTGGGATATCTACTCTGAAATGCAGGTGGGTAAGGCAGCTGCTCATAGGGATGCACGAGTGTGTGCATTTTCACAGAAACAGCTTTTAAAGTGATATCTGGGAGGGGAAAGAGTGCTTTGAAGCTCAGTGTTAGCTACAAGAAAAGTGGGTAATTTGCTCTCCATGCACGAAGTTTTAATGCTGACTTGATCCACTGCAGGGGAATATGCAAAAGTCCAGCATGGATTGACAGCTATTTATTTTAGGAGCTAAAATATGAATCTTGAATGTTTGTCAAATGTTTTGCCCCATTCTTGGTGAAGAGATACTGTTTAATCAATAAAAATGAATAATTTAAATTCAATATCTTCCTGTCGTTATCAATAATAGTTTTGTGAGTGATGTATTACTATTGTAATTGAATTTGTCAGACACCACCGGTTTTACATGACAGTTTGTTAAAATTTTAAACTTAATTTACTATAGGCAGTTGACTTGGTCTGTTTGAATTACATTGATGTTTCATCTTAAAAACATTGATTTTCCTAAAACTATCTTTTCTACCTTTGTGTTTATTGCATTATCAACCAGGGAGAGGAAAACTAGTAGGAAGGCATGGTCAGAGCTGGAGTTTCATTCCCCAGCATCCCAGCTGGTTTTGTCAAAGCAAGGAGAGTTTTTTGAATTACTTTCCACAGAGATGTATCGACCTGTGGCTTTCCTCTATTTCTTCTCTCTCCTTTTGCAGTATTTTACCTTTTTCTGGTGGTTAGCTTTCAGTTGCTGCTCTTTTCTACCCTGCACCTCTGTGTTCATCTCTTACTGGATCTGAGGAGATACTTGCTCTGTAAATTGGGTTCATCATGTATGGATCTCTTCTATTTTGCAGAGGTGATTGGATGAATACAGCCCACCATGTGTTTAAAAAATAAAATCAGTGGTCACCAGAAGATGACAGAACTCTCAACTAGTGTTCAGGCACTTAGGGAAAACAGATTCTGTTTAAAGGCATTATGAATAATAAGTATGCACATAGCCATATCCACCTTTTGAAAGTGAAACTTAACTTCCTAAAAATTTGGTTAAAGTGATTGATGTTTTTGTCCACTGTATAGAAAGGAATAATCAAATGATTACAGTAATCCTGATAAGAAGGTGAGAGGGACAGAAAACTTATCAGTCAGCAGCTGACTCCTCCTGAGAAAGGAAAAGGCACAGTGTGACTGATGAAGGCATCTTTTGAGGATTTACAGCATGTGGTAGCTCTTGTTGAATTCTTTCCCCCCTCCTTTTCTTCTAGAGCCATAATGTAATCTGAGTATAATTTCATCCTGGAAAAGGAAAGTAGAGAGTAGCAATTTGACGGCTACAGTGAAAGCTCCCTCTGGGGCAGGCCCTTTGATAACAACGTGATTTGTATCTTTGCGTGGGAATGAGCATACAGGGAAAAATTCAGGCCCTTTGGAGGGCCAGCACAATGACTGTGTGCCACTTACATTGCTCTGACCTAATTTTTTCCCACATATAGTTGGTTCTTGCTCCATCTCTGCTGGGGTAAATCTCCTTGGCTGCATTCTTGCAGAAATATTCTCCCTGGGAAGTCAAATGTTCCAGCTTTAAACTAGAAAACATTTTTCTGTCTTAGTTTTACACTAGGAAAAATGACTGGACAGAGTCCAACAGATCTTATTTCACCATAAACATAATTTCTTTTTTGTTGACTTGCTGTTTAGGGAGCAAAAACAGTGAGAAATGGGTGAAATGAGCATATGCCTGTGCTTTCCATATTGCATCCTTGCTTATTATGTATGTGCAGTGTTTTTTGTGCCAGAGCAAACCGGAGCATTATCCATGCACCAGAATCCCAGTGGAAAAAGTGATGGGATTTACCCAAGAGAAGACACAGCCTGGAGCATGAGCCAACTGATGGATGTAATCCTGACAGCACCAGGGAAGCACAGACAGATCAGCCAGGAGAAGTGACTTGCTTGTGCTGAGGTTCTTTGTTGCCACTGAGGAATTAAAAGAAAATGGGAACAGATACAGTGGACAAATGGACAGTGACACAGAGGAAAGGAGTGAGAGCTGAGTGTCAGTAACCTCTGCAGAGTGAAAGCGGTGGGTTAGGAAAATGCTTGCTGCTGTAGTCTGCTGAGTGAGTGGATTTGAGCAAAGATGCAAAAGAAGTGGTGTTTGAAGGGTTGTCTCACACACCTATGATGGTTCCTGCTTGTGTGTGACTTCAGAGGGGCATCTCCAGAGACTTTGGTTGTCTGTGCTGTCCCTGGAGGGAAGTAGAAGGGAAGAGGCGGAGGTTATCTGGCTCCAGGTGGTGTGCAACACCGTGGGGATGGATGTGCTCCACGCCTGCAGAAATTCCAGCCCCACTTACAGCTGTCAGCTGACAGTCAGAAAACTGCTACTGAAGGTGGCAAAATTTTAGATGTTAGCATCTGCCCATTTGGTTTCTGTGCTGAGTACTGAGGCCAGCATTAGCCCTCAGCCTTCCTTCTGAGAACTCATCAGCAGCTACATTTTATTCTTTTCTGCTTATACCACCGTCATTTTCACAGCATTCCACTGTAGCTACACCAAAAGCAGATTATGAATTCAAGTGCAGGAAAAAAAATAGCAGCAGCAGAAACAAGTGAACTTTTTGAAAAAGAAAGATGCTATTTTTCACGCAAATGTTCTTAGTAATGAAGTGCAAGGGAAAGGAAAAACAGAACATACATCACGCAAAGGCAAAATTGTTTCAAAAAAGGACATTTTTCATAGGTTGCCAGGAGATGTTGGCTGCTGTTTATAGTGGCTTTATGATGTACTGGGAGTCACTGCATGGAGTGCAGGCCCAGGACTGAGCAATATCAGTGTCTAGCACAAGATATCTAATTGCAACATCCTGAGGAGGACCTGTAACTACTGCCAGGTGACCAAAATGAAAAAAAAAAAGTAATAATAAAATCCACCACATGGATAATGAAAGCTTGAGTTTAATTTTTAGAGTATGGTCTGCAATAGATGCTTTATTCTGAAAAAGGATGAAAACTGTTAGCTATCTGTAGCAGTACATTAAGACCAGGATGACTAAGGGCTTGACTTGCCCTGTAAGTCAGGGATAATAGTGAGTGTTACAGTGTTGTCAGATTTTAGATGAGCGAATTCATTTGTTTTGTTTCTTGTTTCAGCACTATTGAAAGATTCTGGCCTGGGGGCCTTTGAGGGTTGAGATCCTCTATTTGCAAGGCACAGTGGAAACAAGAGGTCAGGCTTCACTCAGGCCCTTCAATAATACCTGTACTGGAGCACTAAGGGCTGCACCTGTTTTTCTTTTTGTTGTTGTTGTTTGTAGAATTGACCCTGGGTAGAGGTGGGACTGGGACATGGAAACTCAAGCTGTCATTAAGCAGTTTAAATAGTACTATTCAGTGTTCTACAAAAACTTAATTAGCTGAAGTTGCCCATTTTGGTGTGTTCTTGTAGAATTTACTTTTAGAGTAAGATTATTTCAGTGGTATTAGAGAACTAACCAAGAAAGGAACTTTAATGAAGCCTTAGGAAGAGTCTGTGGCACTCACATATCTGAAAACCTTTGTATGTCTGCCTTGCTGGAAAAAGTAGGGCTTCATGTTAGTAGTTAAAAAAACACTACAGAGGTTGCTTTGGATGCACTTGTAATCAGAGTTTTTTTCTGATCTTATTAGTGAATTTGTAATGTAAATATCATACCAGCTTTAATTACTTTGCAACTTGATATGGGTAGGATTTATTGCTGTGTTTTGTGACCTGTGATTTATTTGGTTTACTGTAGCATGCCTAATAGATCTTATGGGGTAGTGCGAGAAAGAGCACATGTTGCTACAGTAATTATATGCCCAAATATCTAAATCTCCCTGTCTTATTCATTAACTTCTAAGGTTTCTACTGCACGTCTTACTGGTACATATATGAAAGACACCAAGTCAGATTCATTGCAAAATTAAAGCTGTTGAAGCCCCAAGGCATCCTCATCTCTACAGAGTCCTGATAGAGTGTCAGAAATGCCGTGTCTGAGAGATTTCTTGCTAGGGGCTCAAACTAGTATTTGGAATAGGCCTTTTAAGCACTTCTTTAGATCAACAAACCTCTCTGGCAAATGCTGCATCTCAAAAGAACTTTAGTTTTTGCCCAAGGAGAACAAGATTTGGTATTTATACATGACTGCAGCCAAGCACCCCCCACACAAATGCTAATGCCCAAAGCTGCTCCACTGCAAGCTCTGTAACAGGCATTTACATCCATTTATATCCATTGCTCTTCTGTGCCCCATGACAAAGTTCTGGAGTACCATGAATGCAGTGAAGGATGCTGCAATTTACAGCAGCAAAGGTGGGTGTTGCCTGTGGGATGTACCCTTCCAGCAACTGACAGCCACCCTGTGGTCTGGGAGGGCAGGGACCCAGACACTGCATGGCCAGTCTGGCCTGTTGAGAAAGCCAAGATATGCTCAAATGAACTCAATTTCATAATTTGTTGAGTTACCAAACCAAGGACCTGGATTCAGTTTTTTCTATGACTTCTCTCATTGTTCATAGGATGTGTAGCACAGATTCCTTCTCCATTAGAAAGGCCTTCTGTGCTGAAATGAATGCTTATCAAGCACATCATCTTTGCTTTAGAAACGGTGGATTAAGGATAAATATACTGATCTACCTGTCTCCCCAGCCTCAGCAGGTGTATGAACAGAGGAGATAAGACAGAAAGCCTGTGAGAGCCACATAAACCTGAAACTGGCCTCTGCTTTATTGTGCTCCTTGTACTTTTATGTGGCCAATTCTAAAAATTTTCTGACCTCTGTGTCTGAAGTTATACAGTTAAAGCATGTTATGACAGCGAACAGCTGGACTGTGAGCCTCATAGACTCCTGACTTGTCCTAGGGTGACGTTATGGTGCTTGTATCCCCAATCGTGTGTTCTGTTTGTGCTTGGTATTATGTCCTGTGCTTTCAGGACTGACTCTGAAAGTGAAGGTTTGTTTTGTCCTGTTATCAACCAGCTCACCTCCCCCATGGTCTGTGTTTAGGAGAGGCTAGGCTTGGCTTGCTTGCTTGCTTGCAGGCTTGCTTGCTGTCACTTTGCTCTTGCTCCTACTTTTTGCTTTTCCCCTTGCTTTTGCTTTTGTGTATTAGTTAGTTTAGCTAGGCAGTCCAACTTTTTCCCTGTTTTTTTTCTTTCCCTTTCCTGAATACCATCTGAACCTGTTCCGGACGGGGACCTGGGAAACACCCAGAAACACCGGGAGTCTGCATTCTGTGACCTGCAGCAGTCATCCCCCAGCGCCGGAGACTGATAACTGAGCGACCACTCGCCGCAGAGACTTTCAGAGTTTGTCATCCTTTCAGAGCAGTGAAAGAAGTTTTGCCATCTGGTGTTGTTCATTTTTTTGTGCTGGGGAGTATTTTGCTTGTTAAATAAACAGGCTTCTTTCTACTTCTCTCTGAGAAAATTCTTCCTGAACCCGGTGGTGGGGGGAGGAAGCGTGGAGGTTTGCTTTCTGGGGGTTCCTTCCAGAGGTTTTCCCCAAAATTTGCCCTAAACCAGGACATGACTTTAACCTGATAAGTCTAGAGAGAGTACTGAGAGAAGGGATTTGGCTACAGAGAGCCAGCCAAGCAGGTATCTATTGGCCAGTGAGCTGAGTGGTAACTATAAAACCAAATCATAGCCAAACAGGTTGGAAGGCAGAGCCGTTTGAATAACTGATATAAGAGCTGTGCACTCTATTAAAAAGCTCTCTCTGAGCATGTTGTGCCATCCCTCTGTCTCCCATGACCACGACAGTGTGTTTTGGGGAATCCAGATGGAAGTTGATTTGTCAGGCTGTGAAGGCCAAAGAGAATTAGGAATTAAATGCACCATAATTTCCCCCCCCATTGGTACGTTTACAGGATGTAAAATGTACATTCTGCATAAGACAGTGATGTGAGGGAAAGCTTTTTCTGACAACCTTCTTTAACTCCCACAATGTCCCTCTTTTATTTGGGAGGAACAATGCCAACTGATAATGAACTACTTTCTATTCAAGGCTTCAAGTCAAATATTCATTCCTCATTAATAATTCAATGTGACAAATTTATTATCTTGAAGGTGCTGTGAGGCAATTAGACAATGGGAAATTGTGTCTTCCTTTCAGCCCACTTAATTGGCTTTCAAGTGTGACATTCATCAAAACCTTGACTTTTCATGTAAACTTTCAAGGCATGGTTCTAACACTGGAAGTACATGCATTTGGAAAAATTCACCTGGGGGGGTAACTTCACAGGTTATTTTTAATAGCAAAAAGAGTGAGAAGGACAACATGTGAGTCCAAGAAGCTTTATTTTTAATCAGCAGAGAAATTATCATCACTTGGTAATTTTCACATGACAAAATGTCCTGTAGTTGCAATATAATTTTAGGAGTTAGGGCTGTATGCTCTCTCTCTCTCCCAAGTAGTGTTACAAAATTACCAGTAATTAACATCTTTATAATTTCTTTCCCATTTTTATGTATTGTTTGGGATGTAATAGAATAAATTAATTTTAAATATAATCTTTTGTACTCCAGGTACTTTAAAACACTTCACATAGTAATGATATGTTGTTAAACAGTGATACAAAAGAGATTACCTTTCTAATAAGGACCCTGGGCAAAGAAATAATTTGAACACTGGATTTCATATTCTTCAACTTCATTTATAATGTGACTGCCTTCAGTGTTGACCTTTAAAAGACTGCTATATGAGCTCTTGAGTGTAAGGAGCAGCTTTGACTATAGTAATTTATTTTGCAGCAGTTGCATGTATGTTTTCCATTTCTGACATTCAACCTGAGTTTTTGTTATTTACAGGGCGCTTTTCTTTGGGTATCCTGTAACTTATAGATGGCTGCAGTCTTTCAAGGGCACCCTTAAAAATGAAATTGTTGGTTTCAAAGGTCTGATTTGTCCTTGTAAACTTACATGCAGTTGAAAAATAGAAAAAGTTGTCTTAGGGATGTGCAAAATTCATCTATTTTTTGATTATTTCACTTAATGATAACAAATTTTGTTTATTGAAAATGCATGTCACAAGCATCTTCTTTCATCTAGTCTGCTTTAAAAAATAAATGTGCTTTTAAAAAGTTAATTAAAACTTCACATTTGTGACTTAGCAATTTCTCCATTAGCATGTATTCATCCTTTCATGTTCTGTGCTTTCTCTCCTTGAAACACTGAAGGACTACAATCGACTTTTCCAGCTATGAGCTGAATGTTGTTCATGCATGGAAGGATTGTGGCTCAATCAGGATCACCATTCAGAAGGGGAGTAGGACAGAGAGTCTCAAGCAGAGGCTGTGCCTTGTTGCTACTGCACTTGCCTTTGTCCTTTTGAAGTTGCTGGTCCTTCTAACCCTCCACATTTCCACCAACAAATGTTTGGGGGTTTTTAATATTGTTTCTTACCAAGTTAATGCAGAGAAGCAGCTGTGTCTATGATTGAATGCTCCCAGTTAGCTCACTGACCTGCAGAGCACTAACAGCCTGGATGAAGAACTGGTTAAATGAAGGTCCACTTTTATCTTAGGACAGTAGTGAACTCCACCTTTCAGACAAAACAGAGAAGGAAAGGAACTGGAAACACTGTGATGTTTGATCCAACACCCAATAGCATAAATGAGATTCTACTCCAGCTAAAGAGGTATGCAAAAGAAAGTAGACACAGTCAATTGTAAAGATGATCTTTTTATATTCTCTGGGGAAGTTAAGTCCACTGGGATGTCCTGTTTGCAACTATTCACTTTGAATAGAATTTCAATAAAATAAGGTCTATTTCTTTCTATAGACATACAGTTCCTGTTTTTCAGGCTTCTTTCTTTATGTAAACTGTCCAAATTTAGTCTAACCTGTTATTTAGCTTTCCTGACCTTTGCAGAGACTTCACCACTTGTACAAGTTTTATGTGAGCATCAAACATCATGGAGATAAGCAGTCCTAGAATTTGTACTTACCATGTACACATATTATTCATATGGGGAAAATTATTAGTCTTAGTAACATCTGGGCAAAATGAAGATAATAGGAGTTAATGATTGAAAGGCACAAGGTTTACTCACTTTTAGGGCTTTTTTAAAAAGTTGTAAGTTAATGACTAAAAGAGAGATTGTATTGTGTTAAAATTATGATTTCACTAAAAAAAAAAAAAGCAAAGTCTGAAACAAAGTGGCCCATAAGAATAGCGTTGACTTCAGGGGGAGCTTAACATTCAAGGCATATGTTATTTTATCTGGAAATCTAATTTAGGCTCTAGTCCAGAACAGTTGGGCATATCTTCAGCTTTTACTATTTCTATGGTGATATTTGCTACCAGAATAGTCATATTTATGGATACTGAGATAATGGCCTGATTTAATTTGTATTCTAAGAGAAGACCATTATACTCTTTAGCAAATGGAGTTCATACACCTGCATATCTGGCAGGTGTAACAATGCATTTACCAGACCCCTGAGTACTTACTGTTATTATATTCTATTGGAGTGAAAACAAGGCAGTACATTTGCAAGAGAAAATCTAAATATTTATTACTTCCACATAATATTTTATTTATATGGATCCAGGTTTCTTAGTGAAAATCTGAGGCCAGTGAAAATCTGGAGGGTCTTTAATGAACTGCATGGTCTTTAATGAAGGTAGTGCATATCCTAGAACAGAATCACTAGAATCACTAGAACAGAAAAGATACTAGAAATATTAACAGTTTCAGTGGTAAGTGCCCAGACCAGCATGGCTGGTAGGTTACTGTGCAGTGTTTTGCTATTTGGAAGGTGGATGGGGTCAGAGCTGGTAACATTTATATCTTGAGAGCAACTTTCTCATTTGGCAAAGCTGAAGTTGTCAAAATTGCTCTTTCAGGCTGAATGGAAACTTTTAAAATATTCAGGTACCTTGGTAGATAGATTGAGAGCAGTTGTTTGAATTGCCTGTTCATTTTTTTTGCAGAAATGTTGCGTTTTAGTGACTGTGATATTCATGTCTCTTAGTGCACCTTGGTAATCCACCTCATGCCTCTGACAGCTGAAGTGAGTACAATGTTCCACATATTTATCTGTTGGCTTAATGCCTGTCTGCATCTAAACCTATATGATTTTTTTTACCAGCTATTTGTGCTCTATACTCTAGGTAGTGTTGCCAAGTATCTAAAAAGTTCTTAGAATAATATCTTGTGTTTTTCCATCAAGAGACCTCAAAACATTCCTTGATTAGGTAGATGTTATTTACCTTACCTCCTCTAACACTCAGCCACAGAGAGGTAGGGACAGCATCTATTATTGACTACATATGTTCTGAACTTGCACATCATATGTACAGCCTGGATGAGGTCTTGTTTCCCTCTGGAAGCAGGCCTAAGGCATCCCTGGTTTGAATTGGACTGGAGCTGGTGCTTTGCCCTGGCTGTGTTTCCCTGCGAGCCCAAGTCATTTGCCCACAATGATATAAAAAACTCTCTTCAAGAAATAGAATCTTTGTCTCCCAGTTTGTTTCAGACAATCTTTTTCTACATTTGTCACAGCTTTTCTACTTGTTTTTATTGCTTAGCAAACCTTTTATGGAGCAAATGAAGAGGTGTTCAGGCAGTCAGAACATTTGTTAATAAAAACAAACAAACCAGTTTTTAAATAGGAGCCTGATAGAGAATGATGAGGAAAATATTTATAACGATTCTCACACTTAAAACGGCTTATTTT